CCTCGGCGATATCTCGTCGCTCCCCGCACCCTCCGCTGCTCTGCTCGCTCCGGTATTTAGGGTTTGCCCGGCGGCGCCCGGGAGCGCCTGTCGTACCTCAGGCTCGTAGGGAAAACGTAGAGTGTAAGGGTAAGCCCTGTCCATAAGGTTGTACAGGTAAAGCCACCGCTCAGCTTTTATACTTGTCTCAGATCCCCACCTGAGAGCTGCTCCTCCACCAAATGCTCTACAGAAGCTGTATTATTAGCTCGGTTTGCTTTGTAGCTATAGGTGAGCAGAGAACGCGCAGCAAATTTTGTCAAGTGTTGTTTTCAATACAATAAGCACAGAGATCTCAGCTCTCAGGGATCTGTGCAGACGGGTTTCTTCCAGTATTAATATAAATTACTGAGCCTCTCAGTTTCGCATGATTCGCTTGGTTGCTTTTCCTGACATCATGAGGAGGCATGTGCGTGCTGTTTTCCTCATATGCCACGTTCCTTTTCCCTATAGCACCGAGCAGTGAATGAATAGGTTGCTGGAGAAGCAAGGGGAATGGCAATAATAAAAGAGCATTTGGGGGCAAATCAAACCGCTGTCAATTTGACAGTCTATCACTTGGTACAGGAGATACAAAACTCGTCCTGATGGACAACAGCAGGCTAATGTGTTACTTTCCAAGCGCATGTATCCCACAGATTTCAACAAAACAAAAAAGTCTGTTTCAGAAAAGATGGCAACATCCTGTGTCTGTTGGGGGGCAGAAGAAAGGGGAGAGAAAGGAGCAACAGAAAAGGTATAGAGGATGGGCTTAGTTTGGGGCATGTGATATTTAAACTGCTGCTGGTGGTGACTGAATTTGTACGAGGGAAGGGAATGTCCTTAAAAGCAAGAAATAGATGAAAATAAAAACATTGAGGGTGAATCCCTAGAGGACACAGACTGAAAAAAGTAGGATGGAGAAAAGCTTATCCACTGCTTACTGAACTGAAGAGAGGAAATGTGGAAGGAAACCGAGAAACTTGTACTTTTTTAAATATAAAAGGATTCAAGGTAGAGTGGTGTGGAGAATGGTGAAGATGATGTGATGGCTCTAAAATTTGCTAGGAATTTCCATGCCAGAATTCTATCTCTAGGGACTTCAACTTCATTAGCCTCCCAGAGGAGAAGTATCAGTGTAATTTTGGGCAGAACTGACCAAAAGTACCTAGTATAGTAAGTATAAAAAAAATCCAGATGTTCCCTGTTCAGAGTCCTTTCAAGAATCAAGCTGTAATTTAATGTTTTCGTAGCTGGTTAGTGAGCGACCAGTTCTGAGGTAGCTCAGAGAATATGAAGCATCTGTGGCAAGAAAAACTTTTCATATGCTTTTGTGATCCCTGGCCTGATCCAAGCTCTTGGTGTACAGCAAAGACATGGGGGTTTTCTTCCCTTTTCAAAACAGCAGGGACAGTGCAAGCTCTGACATTTGTTCTGGAGCTGTACAACCATTCTTCCTGCAGTTTCCTTCACATGACTTCTAAACACCATGTTGTGTTTTGTGAGCTACCTCTTTCCCAACTTCTGTGTCCAGTTCTGTGCCACAATTCAGTAAACCCTCTAGGTCATCATTTCAGCTTATTTAAATTCTACTGGCTTTGACCTTCAGTTAGTGTAAAGCTTGTGGACATCCATTCATTTCAAAGGCATTTCAGAGTTCAGCTGCAGCCCTGCTAACGATAAGGAACTTGCCTGCTGGTAATTCTCACAAGACCCATTTTCTTAAAAGATGCACCAGAAACATTGACTACAGACAGGGAGGAAAGAAGATTGTAACATTAAGGCTTTCTTTTCTGGAGTGAATCTGAAACCTTGAACACTAAAACCAAGCAAAACCTCCTTGCTTTCTAATTACTTAATTTGGATTGCTTCTGGTTCTTAAGAATCCAGGCAGCCCTTTATTGTGCCAGAATACAATATGATGGTTGTAAACAGTTGCATAATCTTACGAACTGACTGAAAGATTGGAAATGCATTTAAAGTATACTGTGTCTTCAGCTTCAAAAACAGGTATTTTGGGCAGTGTATGGTTTCTTAGAATATTGTCTGCAAACATGTTCTTTCTAAAATCCCAGTATGGCAGTTCTATACAGCAATAAAAACACACTTCTTTTTTTCTCATTTTAGGATTCAGGGTTAAGATTCCACTATGTGGCTGCTGGAGAAAGGGGTAAACCACTCATGTTGCTGCTTCATGGCTTTCCAGAATTCTGGTAAAACTCCCTACGCGCTTTTCTTGTACCAAAGAGGCTGCTTAAGACACCCCAGAGTCATCATCTCAGCTTAAGGATCCCCAGTGTGATCTGTTTTATGTATCTATGAGTACTAACTAATGGCATGGAGTTTTAGTAGGGAAAAAACACTGAAGCATTTTTACCTGAAGCATCCACAAAAAATTCCTGATGCAAGCCAACCATCTTTTTTTGTATTGTCAACCCATTTTTCCCCATGTATGTACACTTTTCGTCAAACTTGAAGGAGGAACTGCTGATTTTTAATGAATTTCCTGTTTCAGTGATGTTTTTACTATATGGCTCAACTTACGAATTATAGCAGAGGATATTAGAATAAGGATCCATTATATTTTAAGTGCAAAACGAATTGCTGCATTTATTAAAAACACTATACATCAATTTTTAACTGGGGGAGGAGGAGAAGAACTGTGAGTTCCATAGGCTATTGTGCAGCCTAATTTCAGGATGCTATGCAGGGAAAAAGGTTCTATTATTAGTACATCACAAGATGAATGATGAATCAAATCCAATCCTAAATATTTGCTTGTAACAATGAAAAGCAGCCATGTGCCTAATGATTTAATCAAATTGCTCAGGTTGTCATTTCCACGTTTAACTAGTGAGGCTTAAAGAACTTGCACCAAAAGAAACCAGTAAGAGAGCAGGGGTAGAGGTAATCCCAGAAATTCAGCAAGTTAAAAGATCCTCTTCCTTTCTAATCTCAGATATGGAGGTAGGGGCCATTGTTGGAACTCCGATGGTTCAAGCTGGATTCAGGTCATGCCATGATAAATTGACCTGGGTAAAACAGAGGTCAGTCCTCTTCCCTTAGCAATTTCCTATGCCTAATGGCCTTGAGGATGATGGTACAAACTCATGTTTAATTTAAGATCAATTTTCAAAGAAGTAGACTGTTCTAATTATAAATTGCTATATAAAAGAATTAAAACTGTAAACTTTGAAAGACAGATGGGGTGTGCATATTCTATGCAGACATTATGCATACCTTGTGTAACTCATTCTAACATAGTCAGACAGCTGAGGCTGCAGCTGATTTCCCCCACAGCAGGAGTAATAACAGAAAATGTAGCATTTTACATACATATTCTGCTGAGATCCAGTATATTATTCTACAAAAAGCAGAAAGCCGTTGTTGCAGTTGAGAGCAGTGAGTCATGCTTTAAGCGACAGTTAATATATTGTATTATCTGGCCATTCAAAAGGAATGAGTAAGAAAGCGTTACACAGGTGACTGGGACCATCAAGAGTGTAATTTATAGAGGTGTTTATAAAAAGAAGACTACATGTCCATAGTCTGTGAAATAGTCAGGCTACCAATACTGGTGTCGCTTTGCAATTCAACCAGTGAAGAATTTTTTACGCAAGAATACAGAGATTGTTGTGAGAGCACAATATAAAATAGTAAGAGATACTTAAAACAGCATCAGATTTTTATCATTTGGCCAGAAAAAAAACAAATCAAAAAACTAAACCCCGAACCAGATATGATTCACACTTAGAAATGCTATAAATAGGACAAAAATAACCAGCCAATACCGATCTTAGTGTGTGACTGGGAATGGCTAAAGGTGAAAGATCACTGAAGAGTATCTTACATCGAGCCATTAAGTGCTTTAGATGCATAAGAACTTGAAAATCACTACCAATGTTGTGGAAAGGCAATAATAAAATATTTGGAATTGGGAATCATGCTGGGACAGCTGGGTGCCTGTAAGACTTGAGTGTGAGCTGCTACATTTTTTACAAGCTGCCTTTCAGAGATAATGTGATCATAAAGTCACAAAATAGTTTCCACGACTTAACCTTACGAACATGAAAGCATTCACCAACATATCCAAACTCTGCTTGCAAAGCAGTTATCCAGTTTATCCACATTTCAGATGTGGCAAAAGGATTTCTTTCAATAGAAAACCTCCCAATTTGGTAGGTCAGACATTCAGTGATTGATGGAACGTTGTGAAAACAGAAGGTGAGGACAGCAAATAGACATTTTCTGAAAACAAAAATAGTGTATTTATGGGCCTCACTGTTTCTTCTTACTGAGTTATATAGGATAGCTACAACAGTTACCATGGCAAATTCAGCTCCCAAGCCATTGCATAATGCCTGTACAAATTTTATTCCTGGAGATCTCAGCTACATCTTGTATTTGCATTAGACAGCACTGAAATGAAAACGTTCTGACTGTTCTGTTTATATGAATACAAATTTCTGTAACTAATAAGTGTTACTGTAGTATTACTTATGTTCAGGTTTCCTAAAAGGCTGGAGGCAACGCTAAAGTGGAAGATCAGTGGCATGATATAGACACTTTGAATTAAGGTAGAATTCAGTGCATCACTCATGCTGATGATTCAAATGTTACGTATCTGTTATTTGAGACTGTTGAAACAAGAGCAGCAGTAAAAGCTAGATCCTAGCACAGAGAGATGTAGCCACTATAAATATGGCTAGCATGATTTTGGGTTTCATGTATCTTTTTATTACAGTATAAGATAAGACTGTGTCTGTCTTGGTACTGGCTATCCTGAAATTTATCTGGTTTCAGTAACAGCTGAAGGGCTGTTCTTGCAGGATGAGACCCACCATCTTCTTGCTGGTTTTGCTTCATAACACACATCTAGTCACTATATACTATTACGGAATGAGGAATAACCCAGGCCTTTGCCCGAGTTCTTAATTTTATATGTTTTTTAATGTGTGTAATGTTACCACACTTTTCCATAGAGACACAAGCAATGAAATATTTTGTGTAGTACCAGCACACTGAGAGATTGTCCTGAAACAATTCTGGTAGTATAGAGACACAGATGAAAGTATACATAATATAAATCATATAAACTTCACTAAGCTCATTTGTTATTCATTGTACTTCTTTCTTTGTTTTATTTAGTGTATTAATTATCTGACATTCCTTTCCTGAAAAAAACCCAAACCAAACCACAAAACAAACATGCCTTGAAGCATGTTTCCCTATTCCATCAAAATGTGTGTGTGAGCAAGTCAGGGAGAAGAGAAAGCTTTTCAGACCTTATTTTTTAGATGATGCTACAGCTCCAAAGATAAAACAGGCTACTCCTCTGTGTGCTTTGGTTTATACTTGCTTCCTTTGCTTCAATATACCTGCTTCCTTGCATCAATAGTTTCCATGATTCAACCTTAGGAACATGAAGGCATTCACCAACATATCCAAACTCTGCTTGCAAAGCAGTTATCCAGTTTATCCACATTTCAGATGTGGCAAAAGGATTTCTTTCAATAGAAACCTCCCCATTTGGTAGGTCAGACATTCAGTGATTGGTGGAACGTTGTGAAAACAGAAGGTCAGGACAGCAAATAGACATTTTCTGAAAACAAATATAGTGTATTTATGGGCCTCATTGTTTTTTCTTACTGAATTATATAGGATATGCCAGACTCCAGGAACTGTTAAAACACCCAGGCTTTGGCCATGCCCCCTTTCTGGCAGCTGCACTTCCTTACTGGGGAATTCAAGAAGAGAGCACAGAACTGCAAGAGCCACAGAGGACCATCAGCATACCACAGAAAGGAAAAAGAATCTCACTGCAAAAAAAGCCACGCTAATTTACCCTCAGCTATTTGAAAGCAAAATCCTGAGTGCATTTTGATATCATACTGCTTGACCTTTTAACTCCAACTTTCTTTTTTCCCCTTTGTTAGGTATTCTTGGCGCCATCAATTGAGGGAATTTAAAAGTGAATATCGAGTGGTGGCCCTGGATTTGAGAGGCTATGGAGAAACAGATGCTCCTTCTCAGAAAGAAAATTACAAGTTAGATTGCCTGATAACAGACATAAAGGATATTTTGGAATCTCTAGGTGCGTTAGTAGAAGACAAACTGTTCAGCTCACAGATCACTTCATTTTCTGGGGAAAAAACCTCAAAGATATAGCATTGATTTTTTTGTCTTTAAATTGCATTCTCTTTAATATATACATATTACAGATAAGTATAGATATAAATGTAAGGTTACTCATATTTTATGGACTATTATTAATGAAAAAGGTTTGTTTTCTAATTATGGTGTATGTTAGTATAAACAGTATGTCTATCATGAGTTTAAAAAAAAAAAAGTCTTCCCTATGTGCTGTGAAATCCAGCAGTACAAACCTATGGTCTTTCCTCCTAAAAAGGTCTTTGCTTACTCCTAACCACTGTACTTAGTGGATACTGTTCTGAATTAGGGTCTAATTGCACTTGCAGACCAAAGAATTTAAATCAGGTGACACTTTTCTTGCACAAACAAGATAGAATAAATATTTTGGGCTTTATAAAGATGATGACAGTACATATGCTGTATTAAGAAAAAATTCCTAAAATACTACTCCTGCACAGTAGTCAGTTCTCAAGAGCTGAATCACTCTGTCTTACACAACAGTGAGATGAACAGGAGGGAGAACAAGGGACACATTGCTCGCTATGGCAAATACACAGTGTAATGGTCTAGAACTGATGTGAGTCTGCAAAATTTGCCCCTCGTTCAGTTTGAAGTGTAGCTGTTCTGGCAACAAATTGTGACACTCAGTGAAGGGTATTTCCCTTCCATACCAATAGCAAGACAACAGATTAGCCTGGCATTCTCTGAATCATTTTCATTCCCTGGATACTCTAGGGATAGTGAAACAACTTACTGCATTTCACATGAAGAAATAGTAAAGCAGTGATTCCATTTTTAAGGTTTGAGCTTAGGATTTGCTTTGCTTGTGATCTTTGAATACTGTCAGAAGATAGGCAGGCAAACACAGTCCCCACACTATGTTTACATTTTCCAACCTTGGCTGGTTGTGTTAATCTCCATGGTAATGCCATGGTTATGCTTGAGAAGAGCTCTCATCCTCAGTCAATTTCATAGGGATTTAAAATATTTTGAAGAAGTATTTTTGAGGTTTGTTATGTTTGTTTGTTCTAATCCCAAGTTAAATTCTTCTGCAGAACTTGATTATATCAAAAGTACTCCAAAATATTTCTATACAAGAGGGGTTCTAAGGTGCTTTGACAACTGTGGCAAACTGTCTGAACAGTTTGACTTTTATGCATTTCATTTGTAGTGTATGTGCTCAGCATTAAAATCCTCAGGGAGGAGGGTGATGGTATCTGCCACTGGTATATAGTATATATTCCAGCGTTGGTTAGAGGAGGAATGATTAGGCTTTCTAAGAATCAGTCATGATTTTCCACCCCCCTTTTATTGCTCTTAAAATTACCATTTTTATCGATAGAGAAGTAAGTATGTGAATGCCAAGAATGTTAAAAATTGACATCAAAATAGCATATGGAGAAAAGCTACAGGCCTGCTAAGTACATAAATGTGCATATTTATGTGTGTGTATATATATATATACACTATGTATGTATATATGGTTATTAAGTATAATGCCCACTTTTTGCATAATGATGATGTTCAGTGCTTAGAAAACCTCCCATACTCAGAGAAATTCATAAGGATTAAATTTGTTCAGGAGAGGCTTAGGAGATGGCTCAGTCCTTCTGTCTGCAGTTTCAAACTCCAAACTCCCTAGACAGGACAAATGTACATGTATTGTAATGACTGCAAGTTGAACTGTACGGCTGACCCTACCTTGGCTACAATGAGAACAGGGTGGCCATTTGGATACTGAGTGACTGTAGTCTGACATTCAGGTAGCACAGTTAAAGTGTAATTGGATGTCCAATTAAATAGTTGTAATTATTTGTTAATTTTTTAACTATAATAGTGCACTATTTTTTCTAGCCATTAATTAAAGCGGAGGCAGTGCAGTATTAAATAGTTATTAATTACATTAATAACCATCTACATTAATAACCATTACACACAAACCATCTGTTTTGCCCAGTAATGATTTTAATGCATGTGGTAATTTGTATGGATGCAAATTCCACTGAAATAAAACCACAAATCTGTGTTTATGTGGTAGGATACAACAAGTGTGTGTTGGTTGGCCATGACTGGGGAGGAATGATCGCTTGGTTAGTGGCTATATGTTACCCTGAAATGGTGACTAAACTGATTGTGGTTAATTTCCCTCATCCTTCTGTGTTTACAGGTGAGTTTTATATATATATAGTCTCTGTTAATCCAGAGTATCTGCATTTTCATTATGATTGTGTTTGCTTTCAAGCTGCTAAAGAAGAACCAACTACTTGCCCTTTAGATGTTCCCTAGACGCTTTGCCAGTACACAGTGCCTCTCACAATCTGGACTGTTATGAAGCAGGAAGGTATCAAGTATTTAAGTTTTGGAAGTAGGAGTGCTTCTAAACAAACTTACTGGTACTTACCTTAATCCTTGAAGGTAGAGAAACACAATTCTCACACGTGAATCTGTTTTATACTACTCTGACAAGATAAAATTCCCTGAAGAAGGGTGTATATTGCATTACACCTAGGTAAAGGCCTCAATGCAGTAGTAAATCTGCATAAAACAGCCTTTGTAAATATGAATCAGACATTAGAATTTAATCCTGATTTAGGTGAAAAGTGACAATTTATTTTCATCATTATTATCTGGGACAATATTCATTGGAAGAAGACAGCTTCTTCAGGCTCGTACTAGAGGCTCAGGAATGTACTAGCAGTGAGCTGAAACAAGGATTTAGGTGCGCTAGCAGAAGTGTTGTGTGATAGGCGTTGAGCTTGTCTACTACCCAGAATTACAAAACATTTCATACGAATTAGATCCATAGTGAGTAATTAAAATGAAAGCAGTATCTCATTAATGTTAATGTCTTCAGTTGCTGACCTTAGCCTGTTTCTATTTAAGCCATTTCCCCAGAAATAGTTAAGACTATTCAGTGCAGATTTAATTTTCATTTATTTTCATTGCCATTGAATGAAAATCAGACCTTACACCACTGTGGAATTGGAACCATTCACACATATTGTTCTCACAGTGTTCTTAGGCAGGTAGCAGAGTCTCACTTACCCAAGGAAACGTCTGTTCACCACCACTGGAGCAAGTAGAAGCTTTTTGCAGTATGCCGTATTTTCACTGAGAGCATGAGCCAGGCTGCATAGAAGACAAACACATTTTATTAGAGTATTTCATAGCATTTCTTTGCATATTTATTAAAGTACAAAATCTGTTCTATAGCTTGATAAAGTCACCCTGGCTCAATTTTTTCTATCATGGATTAAATGAAAATATCCAGTGTATAAACTGTGCAGAAAAGTAAAGTGAGCAGTGTTGATGATGGTCCACCAAGGAAAAAATTAACAGGTGATGCAATTTACCAATGTTTAAGATAAGAAAGCTTAGAAGATAGCTGACACTTCGGTTTACTGTTTTAAAACCCATTCTTATTCACTGTCAGAATTAATATATCAGAGAGATCTCCCATGTTAGAAGTGCAATTTTGCCTTCTTGAATTTGCATCTGTAAAGGCTAAGTTCTACACTTCCTAGTAGCTGCATGCATTCTGTGCTTGCTTTTAGGAAGTTAGGTATCTGAATGTCAGTGTTGGCTCTGGCAACCCATCGGAGACACAAAGTTACAAATGAGGAAAAAAAAAAAGACTTAATGCAAATTTGGCAAATCATTTTCTTTTGTTATATATGTTCCGATGTCTTTAAGAAGTTACACTATGTAACCTTGGCTACGGTTCTTGAAATTGCCAAGAAGACAACTGCTAGAACAATTCTGTACTTTTGTGAACAGGATTGATGCTGTCTTTAGAATGTAAGTGGATTGTCAGCTACAGATTTCTGTGCACCACAGTTTTGATAAGAGAAATACTTAAAAGACTTGTATTTATGCCTCTTATTCCACAGCTGAAAAAGAAATGCTTTGGGCTCACTACACAAATAGATCTCTAAGTGAAAACGTCTCATGCGGTTAAACTCTCCAGTGTCACTTCCCTCACCTAATATTTGGCAGGCTTCTGGTTTGCTGACTGTATTAACACATCTAAAAGAAGTATGTTCTAATGGCCACGTCATATACTTACTGCTGAAATAATAATCATCTTTTATCACATAGCATGCTCTAACGTAGATTTTTTAAACATTCATTTCAGTTTAAGAATAGTAATATTAGCAGTAATTTTGAGTCATTAGTTTTCATTTTTAATTCATGGGCATTTTTGTTTCAGAATACATTCTACGACATCCATCACAATTGATTAAATCTGGTTACTACTTCTTTTTCCAAATGCCATGGTTTCCTGAATTCATGTTTACACTAAATGATTTCAAGGTGAGCAAAATGAGTGCTCTTGTTTATATATTTAACTGTGAGTGATGGGAGAATTGCCACCCACGTTGATCCCTTCTGATGTAGTTAGAATTACTGCAAAAAATGGAGCTTTCTGGTTTTTCTTTTTAAGCATTATATATTTGTATGAGTAGGATATAAGTACATAGAGCCTCTGAGATTAACTTTCACTTCTGCATTTCTGGGAGGAGTTCAGGTATGTACTTTCAACCTCCTGCACTACAGTGCATTACTCCACGTAGACAATCAACTGGTTTGACTTGTGCCCATGCCAGAGGGACATATCTGATGTCTGGGTAACTACAGCTGACTTACTGAGGCCCCTGTGTGCAGTGGGACTTCCTCTTACCCCTCTGAGCCTGGACAGGGCAAGCAGCCTGGGAGTCTGGGCATCACATTCAGCCAGGTGATGAATCCTGCCTGAGCAACCACCAAGGGCAACACCTTGCATAACCTTAAAAACTAAGTAGAAACATATATATCTATGTATATATATGTATATAGAACATATACAGCTGCAGACATGTATCCTGCGACATGCACACAGCCCAGTGCAGAGCTCCCAGTGCTGCATGCACACTGAGCACAGTGAGCTGGGGAGGTCCTGAATCATTCTCCCTTTTGCCATGTCAGCTGTTGAGGTCCATCCCAAAAAGCGTGTGCCTGCACTTGCCTTTGCCTGCCACAGGTGGCAGCTCAGGGTGCAACACTGAGAAATTTGGGAATAGTGGTATTTGCCTGTACCTAATTATTCTGAACTAAGTTATACCAGAAATAAGCTTACTATATGCTTTACACATAGCTCTCTGAAAAAGAGTTTAAACCATTCATTATACTCTAAAAAATGTACAAATAGATCTTCGAATTATGTGTCCTGTTGAAGGAGAGAAATCACTTTTTCTGCCTATCTTATGTAGTGGCTTTTTATGCTTCCTTTGTAGGTTCTGAAAAGTTTATTTACCAGCCAGGCCACTGGAATTGCAAGGAAAGGCTGCAGATTAACAGCAGAGGATATTGAAGCTTATCTCTATGTCTTTTCACAACCTGGAGCATTAACTGGACCCATTAACCATTACAGAAATATTTTCAGGTCAGTATAACATTCTGAGGAAAAGGTAACATTTTAGAGACTCCTGGAGGCCAACGCTGTTACTGCATCTTCTGCTGCTACAGTAGAAGGAAAAAACGCCCTCTGCCCCTGAAGTATCAATAGGTAACAAGTGCACTCAGTGTCAAGCCATGTGATGCAAAGTGAATTGTGCCTGTTATCCACACAAAACGGTGAAACAAGCAGAGTGCAGATAAGGACAATCTTTGTTTAAAAATATATATAATAAAGCAAAGAGCCTGCCTCATTCACAGAACCCATGGCAACCACAAAAATCCACCTCTAAATAATACTTACAGGATTAATATGATTACTTGTTTGCATCACAGTTCATATTGTCTAACAATAAGATCTAGGAAAAGCTTATTATTAGATACTACTACTAGGTAATATGGCATCCATTACCCTCACTTGTAAATTTACAAAACCATATCTAACTTTAGTTTTATTGTGTTTGGGCTGGTTCTGTGTTTTGGTTTGCGTTTTTTAAGGTGGGGTAGGGTTTTTTGTAACTATGTGTAAAACTAACCCTAACCTGTGGGGTCTGCATTGGCCTCATGAGACGCACTAGCAGCAGTACACACATAGCAGGGAGCATGCACAGACTAAAACTGAGAGAGTAACACAACAGAAAATACTTCTGCAAGCTTAATCTCTAATACTTTATTTTCTCAAGCAGTCTTCTGGTGGTTTGAACTTTCCTGGAAGGAGCTGGCTTGGCCTTAGACACTGATTCCCCCCTTTTTATCTACCAAAAACTTAACAGGGCCAGAAAGTCTTTAACTTCCGTGCTGTCACTGCCAGAGCAGTCAGCAGGGAAATACTGTGAGGAAAATGGGAATCTGAGCTAGGTGCTGTCTTGTACAGTCAAAGAGACAAAACTGGAATGAGAAAGCAGAGAGATGGTGTCTTCTCTTCTAACCAAGGTAACGCCAAGCAGAGACGCCAATGAAGAATACCTGAGATGGCTTATGCTGGTAACAGTATACTTATTTAAAGCTATTCACAGAGTGGCTGATGACATCAACTGGGATGTCCAAGGGCAACAGGCAGCTCCTGGCCCTGCAACGGCACCGCAGTAGCCCCGAGGGTAGGGCTAATGAGGAGCTGGAGAGGCATGAGCGCCCTGAGCCTGGCTCCTTACATTTGCCACAGCACCTCTCATCAGTGAGCGTGCACGTGAACCAGTAATAGTGTAATATCTGTGGTAATAGTGAAAACATCTGTGGTAGCTGACAGCTGAATTGGTGTGGGATTCAGATGAGATGAATGTAAGAGTTGGGTACGTTTAAACTATTGTTTCAGGCCTCTTCAGGCTCAAAAAAAGCCTAGTATTAGTTTTTAATCAGAAGGTATCTTCACAGCTATGAATGCCACGGTGTGTGTGTGTATTTGTGCATTTTCTGGCTTATTGTTCTTATTAAAGTATAACTGTACTGAATTCAGAGAATATTATTTTAGGTGCTGTCAGCCACAATTCAGCAGGCTTTGAACTGGAAGGAAAAGATTAGTCTTTAGCTCATTCAGTACTTGCCACTGGTTCTGATGGTCGCACCTTATGGGATGTAAAACTTTAAATATGAAAACTGGATTGGCATTTTCACTTCCTCCCCTATAAGCCATTAAGCAGCACTAATGACTGGTGTTCACCGGAACTACCAGTGGCTGGCACTGGTGACCTACATGTCAGAAGTTTCCAACTCATTACTATCCACCTGGAGTTTCATTCTTCAAAACTTAATTTTTCTGGAAAGTTATTTCCAAAGAAATGACTGAAATCCCCAACTTCCGTCCATCACCAAAACATCCTTGTTTAAAAAGCACAGAAGTCATTCCCTTCACTCTATTTGAGATACAAACAATTTTGGAATAAAAATCCCAGGTTTTGTATCATGCAGCACTTGTACAAAGCCCAGCACAGTTTTTCCAAGTGTGGCTACAAATCTTGCAAGGCACTTGGACACAAAAGAAAACCTGTAAACCCTACAATAGTGATAAAATACACATAGGAATACTGAAGAGATACAGGATACTGGATTTAAAAGGTAAAGAGATTAATCTAAATGCACTGAATCAGAGCATCAGATGATCAATTTTTAAAACTGATGCTATGAATTAAGCTATGGTTCAGTGGGTGAGGCCAGGTTGTTTGCAAAATGAGATTTTAAATCCACTGCTATAAAAGCAATTTTAAGATTTTTTCCTAATTAATCAAGAAGAAATTAGATTCTTATTTAAAATGACCTTTTATTACTATGTCTTAATATTATGTAAAAGTAGACATAAAGAATGTCTTTAAAGTGTCCATTTCTTTGTCTTATTTTAAAGTAATGTATGCCATGTTCTTTGTCTTTCCCTTTTTACATAGAGGAAAGAGAGAATAGTCTCTTAACTAACTCCTAAGTTTCAACCTAGCACTTAGGTATGTCATAAAAGTTTGTTCAGAAAATCTTTTTTATACATTACTGGTTTAAACAATCATGTTTGAGCATTAATGTAATAAAGATTTGTATCTGACCAGATGGAATCTGTTCTGAATTGTCACAGCTCATCTGTTACAATATATGTTTAAGATTAAGCAATTCAAGCATAAATTAGAAAACATTTTCAGCATCTCTGAAATAGATGAGCTGGAATAAATACTGGTGGGTTACTACAGTTTATGTTGAAGCAGTCTTTCATTTCAAGCTACTTGTATATTTTCTAATGTCTACATCTAATGTGAGGGAATATTTATAAAATATTCCATTTAAAATCCTTGTATCAAGAAAAAAGAATTAATTTTTATTGAAAGTTTAAGCAGGTCATTGCAGTGGTATAATCTTTATTAACATTCTACTTTCTTCAAAGTACTTTCCTCAGGGCTGTTCTTCAAAGTACTCTTCAAATGTCTTACAATGTATTTATCTTTGAACGCTTTCTAGTCTGCCAAATCTCTGGGTTGTGATGCTGCAGTTTTAAAGAGATTATGACTCCATGAAAAGCAAATTTTTAAGGAGCAGTTTTCTTTCACTGCATACAGATGTAGGTATGTAAATCCAAGGCCTTCAAAAACATACTGCAGCTCTTTCTAAAGGGAACTCTGATGCACTTTGAATGTAGCGTTAATTTCACAGATGAGTGAAAATAACTGAATTCTGGTCAGCATTTCAGACATCAGTGGTCTATAGAATATATAGATTATATTTTTCCACAAATACTTTTAGCTGTACTATATGATACTTACTTTTGAGGAGGTCTGAAACACTCTAGCTGGTATCAAAAGTGCCCCCCTGCCACTTCCTGGCAGTTATTTTGTGATAAGGCAGTTTGGCTACTCGGGTAGGTAGGTGCCTTGAACATTGTAGTCTAAATGTGATTCAAAGCATCGTATTTCACTAAAACCTACTTGCAATAAATAATGCAGGTTCAGAAATTTGCCATAGCATTCATCAACCAAGGGAAAGCCACTGACCTACAAAAATTCTGGCCATCTTGTTCCATACTCCCTTTTACAGAGATCATGGGGGTCCTGAGCTGAAGCATCATCAATCATGTTCCAAAAATAAGACCTCTGTTGCAATCAACTGCTGATTACAGACATGTTACAGTAAAAGTATCTTCTAACAAATTCATCATTCTTAAAAACAATTCAGAGACTCCAACCCACAGTAGTGTTTTCTTGCTATTGTGGAAGGTATCTTGGAACCTAGAAAGCCTGCAATGAGATTCACTATTGATTTCAGAAGCTAAGCTGGCTGAAACTCAGATTAGTGATTTTTTGTTAAAATGAGACCTAACTAAGTGCATTTTATTTTTAAAGCTGCCTGCCTCTGCAGCACCATGAAGTCATCATGCCAACCCTGCTCCTATGGGGAGAAAGAGATGCATTTATGGAAGTTGAGATGGCAGAAATTACACGGATTTATGTTAAAAATCATTTCAGATTAACTATTTTGTCCGAAGCCAGTCACTGGCTCCAGCAGGATCAACCTGACATAGTGAACAAGTTAATATGGACATTTCTAAAGGAAGAGACAACAAGAAAAAGAGAATGATTGTTTGTACATGTCTTAAGGGGTCTACATAAAAACTCTGCAGATTTAAAAACTAATTGTTATCAGGGCCGTATTTCCAGCCTGCCTTCTATTTTGAGCTCTGTTAAAGTGTTTTCAATGTACTGTATATTTGGACACTGATGTTACTGATAAAAGAAGAAATGAGTATGAGAATATGTGATCCAACATTGGTTTTACCTGTATACTTGTATTTTGCACATAAAAACACCTGCCTTAAGATATATACGTATTTGTACAGAAAGAAAATCACGGAAAGTTGCTTGGTTTTGTTTTCTCCCTTGCTTTACAGTTTTAATGTGTGGTGCCTTTTACAAATTTATAATGAAACAATAGAGCGGTGCCATACTGAAGGAATTCCTGAGTTTTCATTCTAGATTTGCCTGAATTTTTTTAATGTATTTTACCATTAAACAGTAACTAGCTCTTTTTATTAATATCTATTTTAGTGCACTGAATGATTGAAAAACTTCTGGGCACATTTCTAGTCTTCATGTGGGTAATGATACGTATCTTGTTGTACTGTTGAATGCAGTTGCTTTGTGCAATGTGTATTTCTTTCTTGACTAAAAAATGGGAAACCTGTACGCTCAAGATGTCTGAATAAGAAGAATGGAAAATTAAGATATAACATGTATGTAATCCACCTCTGTCTAATAAAATGCAACTTACACTACTCCCTTTGACTTCCTATGGAAAGATTTCTTATCGAAGCTAAGAACTGGGTTTGAATAGCTCAAGTGTCTGTCCACTGTGCAGCCTTCCTCATGCTGGCTGTTGTAGTTTCTTGGAAATAATGCCTCATTGTTGGCATTATCCTTCCTATGTTAGCAACCACTGTTCTTGACTCCAAGAACTGCTGCCAAGTTCCTGTGTTTATAGGAAGAAGAAACACAGTGAAACAGAGGGTAGAATTAACTTGCATGTGATGGCAGGGAGAACAAAACTGGATGCTAACTACAAAGAAGAAAGAAGCATGAAACATGAGTCCCCAGAAGAGGTGAGTCACCTGCCTGCAGGGTTTCCAAAGGCTCCCTCTCTGCCTGCAGAGCAAGTGCAGTACTCTGGGAAGGGGTAAGGATGAACAAGGACCCCTGGGGGAAGGCATCAGAGCCAGCTCAGCCTGAACCAACTGTTCACACCAGAGAAGAAGAGAGCTGACAAGTTACTGGGGAGTCCCAACACGTACCACATTGCCATGTGTGCCGTCTCTCGAGCCATGGTGTCCCACATGGATACTTGGCGCATCCCCTGCTGACATGTTGCTTGCTCCAATCCTCAAAAGAAAAGGGACCAAGGGGTGCCATCAGTGACCATCTGCTCGTGGCTGGCCAGTTCTTCCTTTTGTACTCTTCCCAACACCTGAGGAAGCGTTCCCTAAGCATGGCGGCAGCACGGTGGTAATGGTATCGATGCACCTTTTCCATCCATGGCTGGTACACGCCTTTCAAGATTAATTTTCCCCAGAATATTGTCAGCATTCATCAGCTTGGATGGTTACATGCTTCTTTTACCTCAGGTTGGAAAGGTTCTTCCTTGTCTCAGTTAAAATACTCGACAAGAAACCCGGTGCTGGGGAGCGTGGCTTTTCCTGAGGAGACCCTGCCCACCGGGACGCACTGCCTGCCTGCCCAGCTGCCGAGAGCTGCCCACCAGAGCTCCTGCTTGCTGTGAGAGGTGGACATGCAACAACAGGCAGCAACCCAAAGCCTCACTCTGCCTTTCGAACAACCGGCGCTACTCTCCCCCTCGAGGCAGGCACCGACGGGCCTTTACGAGGACGGGGACACCGGGGCCTGCAGAGG